GGCCCCCTGCCTCATATTTAATGGGGGATGGCAGGGCCAGAGGCAAGTGGCAGTGTGTGCCCCATCGGTGGAGGGCAGTGGCTAGTGACTTCCAGATGGTTGTGGCTGTGCAAGAAATCAGACCCAATGCCTCCTAATCTTGATTTTCAAAAAAACTCAAATATTTTGGCTTTTTATGTAAAATATCCTTTTTGCATCAGCCAGCTGACGCTGCATAACAAATTACATTAGAAGTTAATGCTAGAAATGACAGTAAACAGTATTGTCTCAGAGTTTCCGTGAGCTAGGAGTTCAGGAACCACTTAACTGAGTGGTTCTGACTCAGAACCGGTGCCTACAGGCATGGTGTTCGCAGGGGCCTCAGTCATCAAAGTCTTGACGGGGACTGTTCTGCCCGCAACATGGTCCTGCTCATGGCTGGCAAGTTCCCACAGGCTCTTTGCAGGGAGTCTCAGCTCCACGTCACATGAGCCTGTCCATAGGGCTGTGCTTGTCCCCAAGTGTGGTGACTGGCTTCCCCCAGAGTGAGTGATCCCACAGAGCTTCCTGAGTCTCAGAAGTCCCCCTGTCCATTCTGACGTATTGCCTTTGTGAGAAGTGAGTCATTAAGTCCGGTCCATACTCCAGGGCAGGAGAAGGAGGCTAACCGTTTTAAGCAGGAAGTACCAAAGAAATGTGGACTTATTTCAAAACCATCACCTTTTCAAAGGCTGGCAACTCATTCAGATAGAATGTTGTGTTTCACCCCAGCCTAGGACAAACAACACGTCGGAAGGCCGGGCTGTGTCCATGGACCACCAAGTCTACCCTCCGCACAACTCAGGCCTTGACGTGCCTCTGTGGTGTGGCTATGTGACAAGTCTCTCCATTTACCTTTAAGGAAACTAATTTCTGTACTAATGCTGAGAGGCAGTAATCTGTGCATCGCTGTGCTGCTCGTGCGGTAAACTGAGTGTCAGATGAAATTCCTCATTTGATAAGTTACAGAGATTCATCAGCTGGACTGATGAATGGATCAGATCATGAAATCTTTGAGAATAGCCTCCGTATTGTTTTGCAAACTCAACAAAGTTGAGGACAACTGCACGAATAGTAAAGCTTGGCCATGTATTTCGTAAATCTTTGTTACCTGCTTAATGGTTAATCTTTACCATGAGGTCGTATTATTAAAATTCTAATCAGCTTATATATTTAAATCACTATTATTATTATCACTAGAATATAATGCTGTTTCAGTTATGCTTTTTGTTTTCAGATGGGATTAAGAGTAATTCCCTTAATGATTCAACAAATATTGACTGAGCACCCACCCATCATGTGCCAGGCACTGCGCCAGATCGCATGAATAAATACCAAGCCAAACAAGGTACTTTGTTTATTCTAGTGAGGAAAAGAAAGATAAAAAAAGCAAGCTGGTACATAATTACGCAAGATATTTTTGGTGAGCAGTAAGTGTTTTGGAGAAAATAAAAACTGGAACTAAGATTGGGGACAGCTGATGTGACAACACCATGTTAGAAAGGGTGGTCAGGGTGGGCCTCCCTGAGGAGGTGACATTTGAGCTGAGACCTGAATTCAGGGTGAGAAGGAGCCAGCCAGGCAAAGATATGGGGGAAATGCACTTTAGGCAGAGAGACCAGTAAGTGCAAAGGCCCTGAGGCAGGAACAAACTTAGCCAAGGTGAGTTTCAGAAAGGCTTGTGTGGCTACAGCAGCATTACAGGGAGAGACCTGAGATGGAGTGGGAGAGTAGGCTCCAGTGAGCTCATACAGGATGTGGCCGGCCACGGATTTCATGTCTCTAAGTGAGACAGACAGAAAGCATTGCAGGGTTTAAGAGGGGAGAAGCACAGTCCGATGATGTGTTTTGAGATCATTCCGTGCCTCCAGATATGAGGCAGAGAGGGACATAACATCAGTTCTGAGGTGTCCCGACCCATAACCTGAATCTAATCCTGAGGAAGAATCAGAAAATCCAATTGGAGGGATGTCCTACCAAATAGCTGGCCTGAGAAATACTCAGCAAAAGTATCAAAGACATGAAAGACAAAGATCAAGGTGCTGTTCCCGATTGAAAGAGACTGAAAAGATGGAACAGGTAAAGGTAACACGTAAAAGTGGTTGGATCCTGCACCAGGCAAAGGACAGGACTGAGGCAGTTAAGGTCTGTAGGTTCCATGGTGGAATGTAATAACAATGTTCACTTCCTGATTTTAAGACGTGTACAGTGGTTATGTAAGAGAATGTCCTGAGTTTGAAGAAATACACACAAGGGGCATCCTGTTTGCTACTTACTCTCAAACGCCTCCGAGGGGAAAGTCATATAACGTATGATATGTTAAACATCACATATACATACCGAGAGAGGAGAGAATGATAGGCGATTGGAGCGTAAGCAACGTCGGCATGTGGGGAAATCAGCAGTAATGGATGCTGAAACCCCTTGTGCTCTTTTTGCAGCCTTTTTTGTAATTCTGCACACATTTCCTTGTGGATTTGGCTGCAGTTTTTTTGGACTACAGGTTAAGCATGCGTTTGCAATCCACGTTGGATGGTCAAGACAAGTGCCTCTGTGAACTGCAAAGCCATTGGCAGTTGGGGGAGCTGGGGCAGTTTTACCAGGAGAAGCCTTGTGTCTGCCAGCTTGGGTATCTTTTCCCGTTTTTCACTGTGGTCCTTAAGATGATGAGCTTTAGAAGTTTTGTAGGGTTGGGCCAGTTAACGACACTCACAGCTAGTGAGCAAACTGCCTGGAGACTGGGCGTCAGAACAACTGATACTCTTGGTTTGACCCATTTCCCCTTGATGGACATTTTTCTTGAATGTCAAAGGTATAAACAAGGGTGTTGTCACCACCCAGAATTATACAATGTTGATGTGTTGTCATATTTGCTTCAATGACCTTTAAAAACACAGAAATAGAGCACTGCAGATAATGTCCTCTCTTGACCTCTCTGCCCAGTTCCATCACACTGCTTTCTACCGTCTCTCGAAGCAACAGCCGTCAGAATTCAGTCTACATCGTTGCGTCAATTTTTAAAAATTTACATGTATACATCCTAGAACTAATAGTTTTATGTTTGCAAAAAAAATGTACATAAATGGTGTTTATACTATATATAATCTCTATAAAATCATATACTGTAGTGTTAGACTATATAAAGCTATCATCACAGTTTTCTTGAACTTGTTTCTTTTCTCAACATTTTCCTTTTGAGATCTAACCCTACTGATACACACTTCATTCCTTTTAAATGCTGTACAGTTATCTACAGTATAGATATATCTATACATTTCCCTATTGATGGATATTTATGGAAATCCCGTTTTTTGTTATTGTAAATCATGTTGCAGTGGACATTTGAGCTATGCGTCTCGTGGTGTTTATGTGGGAGTTTTAACTCCAGGGCCTCTCCCTAGAGATGGAAATGTAAGGGCATGAGCTCTGGACACTTAGTTTCTGTTCTCCCAAGAGGCTGAACCAATTTACACTCCCACCAGCCGCATGGAGATCGGCTTGGTGTTTTCCTCACAGTGCTTTGGAGCTCCCAGCAGGCAGATTCCCAGGCGTGTTGTGTGCAGTTTGCATCACTTGGGTTCCCGGCAGACCTGACTGCCACGCGCTCCGGACTGGGCGGCTACCTCCTTGTTAACTGCCCGGGGAAGAGTCCCCACAGTGGAATCTCTCTGAGGAGCTTGACTACTGCGATAGGGCTATCGGCTGCCTGCTCTTGGCGAGGGGGACCAAGACGTCAGTTGAAAAATTGTGGCTGTCCCTACAAATGCCAAAAACACCAGCCTTAGATTTAGGATATGGGGCTGGAGGACTCCATCGGGCCCACATCTTTGCTAAAAGCGACTGGATACTTGTTGAGCTGGTGGTTGATCTCATTTTCGACCCGTGACGACCCCACGAGGTGGGCGTCCCCTGGCACAAGTGACTTCTGAGTGCACGGCTTGGTGCTGGACTTGAGCGCCTCATCTTGAGATTCTGGAACCTAAATACTCATGGACTTTACCCGTATTTGTAACTAGGATGAGCTGCCACGGTTTCATCACGCCGTCAGCAGAAAATGGCCACTAAGCCTGCTGACCAATTAGATGCCAGGTGTGATCAAAGGATACGGCGAATGTTTAAATAAAAAATATATATATATACAGTAAAAGACACATTGCCACTAATCCCCCTCAAAATACTCCCCCTCGCTTCGAACACACGTATCTCATCGTTCTCGCCACTTTCTGAAGCAGCTCTGGAAGTCCTTTTTCGTGTCTTTACTTTATCCTCCATCACGATAACGCTCCATGTCACACATCGCTTCTGGTACGGCAATTTCTGTCAAATAAAAACATCACGGTGTGTCCTCCTCCACCTTATTCACCGGACTGGCTCTGGGCGACTTCTGGCTCTTCCCAAGTCAGAAAGATTCAGGACATCGAGACAACGCAACTAAAGACACTCATGAGAGAGGACCTCCAGAGCTGCTTCTGACAGTGGCCAGAACGATGGGATACGGGTGTTCAAAGCGAGGGGGAGTATTTAGAGGGGGACTAATGGCAATGTGTCTTTACTGTAATAAATTTTTAAACATTCACCGTATTTTTTGATCACACCCTCAGAAGGTCCTGATTTGAGACCCGAAGGCAGTGACCGGGGGCCCGCACACTCAACATGGCGCCTGCCCGGGGACTGCTGTGCCCGTGTTTGCGCGGCAGGACCACGGGCTTTGTGTGGGTCGCTCTCCGGCGTTTCCCGCGCAAGAGGCCACGGCCAGCCCCGCTCCTCCCAGCTCTGTGACGGAGGCGGCAGCAGGGAGCGCCTCTTTGACGTTGGCGCATGCGCGCGCGGGAGCCCGGCCCCTGGGTAGGCGCGCGTGCGCGCTCCTGCCCTGCCTGCCGCGCAGCCAGCCTCTTCCTGCGCGCGAGGCCAACGGGTGTGGCCGCCAGGCCGGCGGTGTGCGCGCGCGCGCAAGGCCACGTGGGAGCGGAGAGGCGCCGTTGCTCCGCCCTCCCTCGGCGCGCGCCGGCGTCGGCTGCGTCTCCGGGCATTTGAATTGCGCTTCCGCCATCTTTCTAGTTCTCAGACGGGCCCGGAGACGTTTCTGGAAGGTAGAGTCGGCGGCGGGGCCGGGCTGGAGACCGGGGCTGGGGGCGGGGGGCTGGGGCGTCCCGGCGGCGGCAGCGAGGAAGGCGCTCCTCTGGCCCCCGGCGCGGGCGGAGCGGGCCTCCCCTCCGGCGGGCGCGCAGCCAGGCCCCGGCGCTGAATGAGCTGGGCGGGGAGAGCGCCGCCATTGCGCGGCCCCGCCGCTCTGCCCGCGTGCGCCNAGACGGGCCCGGAGACGTTTCTGGAAGGTAGAGTCGGCGGCGGGGCCGGGCTGGAGACCGGGGCTGGGGGCGGGGGGCCGGGGCGTCCCGGCGGCGGCAGCGAGGAGGTGGTTACGCTGGCCCCCGGCGCGGGCGTGAGCTCTCCGTCCTTCGGGTCGCGGAGGCCGCGCGCGGGCCGGCGCCGGGATCTGAGCACGGTGGGCCAGGAAGGGAGGCCCGGGCGGCGGGGAGGCCCGGGGCGGCGGGGTCGGGGCCGGAGGGCAGGCCCGGCCTGGCCGCGGTCCGTGAGCAGGCGCTCCTCGCGCCCCGGCCTCTCGCCGAGCGGGCCTCCCCTCCGGCGGGCGCGCAGCCAGGCCCCGGCGCTGAATGAGCTGGGCGGGGAGAGCGCCGCCATTGCGCGGCCCCGCCGCTCTGCCCGCGTGCGCCCGGGGACGAGGGGGCGAGGCCGCGCTGGGGGCTCCCGGACTGGGCCGGCTCGGGGCGCGGGCCTTTGTGGGCCGGGCACGTGGGGCGGGCCCGCCATGTGCTCCCGGCCCGCCCGCGCAGGCCTGATTGCTTTCTCTTTGCAGCAACATCACGATGGCTGCCCAAGGAGAGCCCCAAGTTCAGTTCAAAGTATGTGATTCTCGGGGGGCGGCGCCATCGGCCGCCAGCGTCGGGGGTCTGGAGGGAAGGCGGCCTTGGCGGCGCGGGTGGAGGCCCGGGTGTGCGCGGCCGCGGCTGATCAGATCCCTTCTGTGACGGCAAACGGGTGCCGCCGCCCGCTTTGTCGGCAGCCGGCGTGCTCGCTGCGGTGGTGTACTTGATGCCCCCCCCCCACACCCCAAAACGGGGGTGGGCCGCGTGGGCCCCGTTTTACGGAGAAGGAAACTGGGTGCAGAAAGTTGCATTGCTCGAGTCATTCATCAGGGGAAACGGGGCTGCTTCATCAGGACCCTTTGTTTTAAGCGCACTTAGGGGATGTAGGAAGTTGTTGCTATTGAAGTGGAATGGGTGCTTAGAACATCTTAACAGCTACATCATTCTGGGGTCCTGGTGTGTGAACGTGTGTTTTGAGGGCTTTTTTCAAAAAAGTGTTTTTCCAACAGCTCGTATTGGTTGGTGATGGTGGGACTGGGAAAACTACCTTTGTGAAACGTCATCTGACTGGTGAATTTGAGAAGAAATATGTAGGTATGTTTGGGGGGGGAACTGTGTGTGCAGATGCGTGTGAAATGCTTGAACTTGTGGACTGAACTTGAAACGCTTGTGTTTCAGCTACCTTGGGCGTGGAGGTCCATCCCCTCGTGTTCCACACCAACAGGGGACCTATTAAGTTCAACGTGTGGGACACAGCTGGTCAGGAGAAATTTGGTGGACTGAGAGATGGCTACTACATCCAAGGTGGGTAGTGGACGGGCTCCGAGAGGATGTGCAGTTTCATCTCCTGGGTGGCTCACTGCTAACCAGCCCTGGTCCAGTAAACGCATGCTGCACTGTGCAGGGAATTAGGGGATTCATGTCGATGGAAAGACGTGCTGTCTCCGGGGAGTTGGCTGTCATTTGAAGGGGGGAACATTTCATGAAAGTTTCTTGTGTCATTAGATTGTGTTCTGTGTGTTGGTAGGCAATTTTGAGGGGAAAAAACTGATTTATATTGAGGCTCATAATTCAAAAACCGACAAGCTATTGCTGCAGCTTCAGTATTTGAAAACTTAGTTCAGGTATATATTTTGATGGAAATCAATGATTATATTTTGTCCATTCTATTAAAAAGATAGTAAATAGTTTGACTAGATACTGGGTCAGAGGAGCTGGTTTCTCTATCCTACAAATGCTGTATGAAACCTGCCTATTTCTTTGAATTGTACTAAATTTTGCAAAAATTTTGCAAAATGCTTAAAATTCAAAGGAAGCAAGTGCTCGTTACTGTACCAAACAAAAAGATGAGTAAAGAAAATGCTCATTTCCTGTAATCTCACTCTTGACAAAAAATTCTGGGAACCCTTGCATGTTTTTAGCTTTCTTTGAGTATGTACAAATACAAGGATTTCCCCCAATTCCTGAGCTGAAAATTGTATCACACCGTACATACTCAGGCTTGTTCCTGTATTCACCATGGCTGTCTATGCAACTCGATAGATACAGACTTACTGACTTTTTAAAAACTGAAGGTATGAAATATCCCAAGTGTATTTGGCCATTGAAGGGTCTTTTAAAAGAATAGATTCCTAGACCCTCATAATAGGGGAAGGGCAGTTCTGGAATGCTGATTTATCATTAATCTACTTTGGATCCCTTTTAGGGATGAGGCAGAATTAATGATGAAATACTGCAGGGAGAGAGATTTGATAGGGTAAGCTGGTCTTTCACACTTGTATGATATAAAATGAACAGGAATTTTAAGCAGTATTGTATGTTGCCGTGATCTACAGTATTTTGAATTGGAGACCTTGAAATTGATGCAGACATGTAGATGACCTAGGGTCTGGCCTGAGACCATGAGTCCGAATTCCTAGTTCTTAGCATTTCTCATCCCTGTCGTCAATTCCTAGGTGTGTACTAATGACTGAATCCATTTTTCAGCCCAGTGTGCCATTATAATGTTTGATGTAACTTCAAGAGTTACTTACAAGAATGTGCCTAACTGGCATAGAGATCTGGTACGAGTATGTGAAAACATCCCCATTGTGCTGTGTGGCAACAAAGTGGATATTAAAGACAGGAAAGTGAAGGCAAAATCAATTGTCTTCCACCGAAAGAAGAATCTTCAGGTTGGTTTCTTAAAGCTTACTGAATTACACCCTTCGATGAAAATACAATGTGGGTTCATTAAAGTGATTCGTGAACATCTTTGATGTATGGGTTGAAAGAAAATTCCTTTCAGCTTGAAACATCCCCCACAACAACCATGGATATTTTAAAATGAATTTTCTCTTTTAAACAGTACTATGACATCTCTGCCAAAAGTAACTACAACTTCGAAAAGCCCTTCCTCTGGCTTGCTAGAAAACTCATCGGAGACCCTAACTTGGAATTCGTTGCCATGCCTGCCCTCGCCCCACCGGAGGTTGTCATGGACCCCGCCTTGGCAGCACAGTATGAGCATGACCTAGAGGTACGAGGCCGGGTTTGGTTCCTGCTGCGGAGCAGGCGTGTTCCCAACAGCCCCCTTGGAAGTGTCATGACCTCTGTCTCTCTCTCTCTCTCTCTCTCTCTAGGTTGCTCAGACAACTGCTCTCCCGGATGAGGATGACGACCTGTGAAAGTGAAGCGGGGCCCAGCGTCAGAAGTCTAGTTTTATAGGCAACTGTCCTGTGATGTCAGTGGTGCAGCGTGTTTGCCACTTTATTACATAGCTAAGCAGAACATGTGCTTAATCTTGGGGATGCTGAAGGAGATGGATGGGCTTCGGAGTGAGTGTGGCAGTTAAAAATAACTTCCTTTTTTGGACCTGCATATTTAGCTGTTTTGGAACACAGTCGGTTTCTTGTTGAGTTTCAAATATAAGACTGCTACAGTCACAATATTCAATGGGAGATCTTGTTTGTTACTGTCATTCCCATTCCTTTTCGTTTAGAATCAGAATAAAGTTGTATTTCAAATATCTAAGCAAGTGAACTCATCCATTGTTTAATAAGCATTTTAAAACCACTAATAAGAAAAATTGCTGTTACTATTTAGATTGCCTTTGCTGGTATCCCTTAATTTGAAAGGATTAGTTTAAATTCTTCCTGTGTATTTTTTGTACATTTGAATCATTTCACACAAATGATCTGACAGGTCAACAGTATTTTATGTGGTAAGTTGTTAAGAGGTATATACTGTCGATGCAGCTAAGTTAAGTAGCATCCTCCCCACCAGCCTTCTGGCTAGCTAGTGTCACCTGGGGGGAGCGCTTGGTCAAGACGTATGCGACCTGTCAAAAGTGATATGTATTTTAGATCTCTGAAGTAGGTGTTTTAAGAACTACAGTTGCTCTTGTTTTATGGCAAAAGTCAACCATCTGTTAATCCAGAGCTTTTAAAGTCAGATGGATTAAACCATACAAATGATAGCAGGAATTTAAAGGATGTCTCATTTGTTTAAAATGAATATAAGTTATACATTTATTTGCTTTTTGTATTAATGTTACATGTTCAATGTAAAGTTAATATTCTAAGATGTTTCCTATTTACCTGCTGCTTTCAAGTACTCCCAAGCTTTAAAGACGCCAAATATTAAGGATTGAAGGTAGACATTCCACAGCTTTAATGATTTCTTTTCTCTGGATGATTTTCGTGGGCAGTGCAAGGACATAGAATAGTACTGTGACAGGAAAGTGGTTCTTAGAGTGCCTCTCGGTAAATGTGCGACAGACTGCAAAACTTACTAACATTAACCATTTATCTTTTGTATGGTTTCCACATTAGAAATGAATCGGGTCTGTCTGGCCTGAGTTGGAGCCCAGTGACACTATACTGTAGCAATTGGTCTCAAAAATAAGAGCTGTTTTGCTCATACAAAGTATAAGTACTGCTATGGTGCAGTTTACCAAAGTTCTTTAAATGTCCAGTGTTCCTTAAATGATTACTTTCTTACCTAAAAAGGTAGGAAAGGAGCACTTACATATATGGAAAAATAGATACAACGGGTAGAATTGAATGAATTTCAAGTAAGATGGAATAAACGTATTGGTAGATTGACTTTACAGATTTGAATTGCTGTATGTGCCATGCTGTATTCAGAACCAGATGTTAACAGCCTGAGATGTGAGGTTTCTTCCCGTAATCAAGATGATACCTTCCATTCAGATAATTTACTATAAGGGGTATGTGTTTGTAACTTGTGTGTGGAATGCAAGGATGATGGATTCCGAATCTTAAATGTAACAGTTAAATTTTGGAAGCTGCTTGTTGAATACGTGGCGGGAGAATTTACAAGTCATTGGAAGAAAATGTTGCTGCAAAATACATTGCTTCTCCTTTGCTCGGATTTTCTGAATCTCTGGTATTTGCTCTGCGAAATGCTGAATAGCACAGATTAGCAATATCTTGGGGGATAGATTTCTATCCAGTTCATGCAAATGGGGAAGTTTTTGCCCCAATTTTTTGAAAACTGGTGTCTGTCTAAAGGGGGGAGCCTTGAATTGAAAGCCTCATGTATATATATATCATTTAGTTGCTTCAAACTAGTAATAGTGTATTAGAGTAAATCGGGTAAGAAGAAGCATAATCCGGTTTCTCTGGATGGTAGACTCATTTGCAGAAATGTTTCATAATAAAGTAGAACTTAAAAATGGAGTACTGGTAAGATTTAGGAGGGGTAAATGTCTTTCAAATGCAGTTTCTTGGTGCGCTCTGGCCAATTTTTCAAAACCCCTTACAGAGTGGGTTCACTGTTCTCCATCCCGAAATTTCTAAGTGAAGGGCAGAGATTTTCAAAAATGCATCAGACTCCCAAAAGGACCAATTTCCTGGCTGCTCACGTGTACTTGCCACTAAGTCACGTAAAACACCACTTTGTCTCAGGAGGTAAAACGTTGAGCAGATGGGGTGATGGTTCAATTGGTTTGACTTGCTTGTGCACGTGGGACACACGACTTGTTTTGATGACACTACCTTGGGCCACATTGGGGCTGCAGGTACCCTGCCTGCCAGTCTGACATCTGCACACGGGGCAGGCATGGCTAGCAACATCGTTGACCTATGTCCTTCCCGCAGCTTCTCGCCTTCAAACCTGAAGCTATGGAGGGAGATAAAAGGTACCCAGCCCTCGGAAACCATGCTGTGCCAGTGTCAAGGGCTTAGTCATGGAGGAAGTGGAAGTGATCACGCCTCGGCCCTGCTCACCAGGCTTTGCAGGGACACGCTGTCTCCTCACCTGGCACCCCATCCCTGCAGCTCCATGTTTCTCCTCTGAAGTAAATCCTACCAGTTAAGTTTTTCGGTTCATTTCCATCTCAGACTGGACTTGCTATGGGGACATACCATAGACAGCCACTGAGTGCCTTCAGCCCTCCCGGCAGGAGGGTGATGCCTTCGTTACTAAGTCTTGCTGCCCTGAGTGCAGAGACCCTGTTATTTGGTAGCCCGTGTGCCCAGCGTACTAGGATTTCTGTGGCAACCTGAGGAGGAAGGGGATGTGGGGTTGATGGGGAGGGTGGGAGGGCAGGGGGAGTTTCATGCCACTGCATCTATCTGGTCATTGGGAAGTGTTTCCCTCCTGGAGCTTGTAGTTTGCACTTAGCCATTTATTCCAGCTTGTTCTCTACAAAGGAGTAGGGATGGTGAACAATGAGGAAACTGCAGGTGTGATCAGAGTTAAAATGCTGCTGTTGGTAGATAACGGTCTCTGACGCCTTATGCTTAGCCATCGGAAGTGGAAGCGGAACCTTGAATTTAATTGGTTTTCAGTTCCCTGCCTTTTGCATGATGTGGCCACTTGGTTCCACAGACCCTGAGCTGTGCGCCCAGGGACATGGCAGTCGCTTTGCTCATCCTGGGAGACAGGCCTTCAAGTAACTGGGAACCAGGTTGATGACCCCGTAAGTGCCAAGATGGAAACGAGACGAGGCCTTAAAGTCTGACAGGCCTTGCCCCTGGTGGGAGGCCTGGGAAGGGCCGCAGTGATCTGAAGGTGCCAGAAGGGTTTGCCACAAAGGGACAGATGGGCAGACCCTGGGGTGGGGGTGGCTGGAGGGCAGAAGTGGAGGCCCCAGCGGGGTTTCTTCTGGCTGGTTACAGGGGTATCAGCACAGTGGGAGGCCACGTGAGGGTCAGGGGGTGCCCAGAGAGCCTGACAATCTAGCCTGGCCCCACTCATGTCCATTCTCCATGCTGCAGCGCTCCAGAAAAGGGTGGGTGACGCCACGGCTGTGTCAAAACCTGTACATCCAGCAAACGTCTCAGCAAAAACTGCTGAATGGACATCCAAGGTCCACGCAGGCGCCATCTTTTTCTCAAAACCTCCAACTCATTTCCCGTCTTCAGAGGTGTAACAGTACAAACCGTATGTGCCTGAGGTGGGTTTGGTGCACGTGAAACGATTCCCACAATCCAGCCGTCCATCACCTGTTAACGGCCTTGTGTGTGGTAACGACTTTTACGATTACTCTCAGCAAGTGTAAGTATAAAAGCATACAGGAGGCCCACCAAGTGGAGGTTTGTCACCTGTGCTTAGTCGTCTTGGCTCAGTGACTGGCAAACGCTCACGAGGTCGGTAGAAGCTTAACCCTGTGTCACAGCGCTAGTCACTCACCGTCACGGAGGCATTGTGTCGTCACAGGAGGAAGGGTGAGCAGGGACAGGAAGGTGCTTTGGGGAGAGCACATCCACAAACATTACAGTGTGTTATGGTGGTTTTATTTTGGTTATTGTTCATCTTTTCCTGTGCCTCCTAAGTTAAACTTCATCGTAGGTGTGTATTATAGGGACAAAGTACATGAAGGTTTGGGTGCTACCTGGGGTTCCGGGCTTCCATCCAGGATGTGGGGATCTTGGGAAGTCCCCCTGAGGTTGGGGGGACCTGCTGTGGCACACTGGCTGTAGTCACATGCTCCCAGCAGCCCTCCAGAGCTCACTCGCCCTGCGTAACTAAAACCTGTACCCTCAACCGAGCTCCCCAACCCCTGACAACAAGTGTTCTCTGCTCCTGTGGGTTCAGCTTTTAGATTCCACATACAATAGTTACCAGACACTATTTGTCTTTCTGTGTCTGCCTCATTTCACTTCGTATCATGTCCTTGGGTTTCATGCAGGTTGTAAGCCTTTTTTAAGGCCGAGTGACATTCCATTGTGTCCACTTCCCACATTTCCCTTGTCCGTCCATCCATCAGTCTGTGGACGCTGAGGTTGGCTCTACTCTTGGCTATTGTAAATAACGTTTTCCGCTTTGATGAGGACGTAAAACATGAAGGAAATTTCCCAAGTAGCAGAGAGACAAGCTGCGTTGTTTATAAAGTTCCGGACACACGAATCAACGCCATTGGGTTTACAGACAAAACCATCAGGCAAGGTGGCCATGTGGCCGATCCTCCAGGCATGAAATGCGGGAACCAGGTTTTTAGGAAAAAGACTGTTTACGCCAGACGCTGAAGCCGGCTGGCCGGGTGGGTTGCTGGGCCACAGGGTGAGTAATGTGTGCTGTTTGCTTTTATTCCCCAACGTGTCTGACCATTTTAACCCCCAAAGTGAAAAAAGTTATATACTTTATACACTATGAGAAGTTTAGGGATTTGAACAATTGAAACATACAGTCACCACATTTCCCTGCCATTCAGAGGTAACTTCTGGTGACACTGTCGTACGGCCTTCCAAATGTTCTCCCCAATGGGACTAGACAACACTACTGTTTTGTAACCATGTCTCACTTTTTGCTACAGGCTTTTCTGTGTCAGCTTTGCACTTGCGGTAATTACCTAGGAATCCACAGCCTGGACGGGCCGTCATGTCATCTGACAGACTCTTGTGTTTTGTCAGGTTGCGTTTCTGTGTTCTGCTCGCCGCGCAGCGTTCAGAGTGGGTTTAGCTCTTCAGGGCTTTTGTTTCCACACACGCAGGCCTGCCTTGTTCTCTTTTCACCTGCTTGATAGAAAACCAAAATTATTTTTTAAGTTTCGTGTGTGTGTGTGTGTGTGTGTGCACTTTCTAATCCCAGCCCCTGACGTGGTACAAGATGCACAGGTCTCATACGCACGGAGTTAAACACATTTTATGAAGTGGATCTCTTGGTGCTCTTCATTCCACAAACTCGTATTTTGTGTTTTCAGAGACAAAGGGAGGTGTACACCCTTACCCCGTTTCAGGCATTTGTATTGTGTTATGCTCCCACTTGGAGCTCAGAAAATAGTGACTGGTGGTGTGAGCAGTGGATTTAGAGGAGGCGAGCTGGGAGGGGAGAGGGCCGAACCGAAGGGAACTCCTCTGGAGAAAGCACATTGAGAGCTTAAACTGCAAAAAATTTAAAAACACTTGGCGGCCGGTCCTGAAGGTCTATATCCTGGGAGTCTACACGCTCCCGGGGGCCGGGGGCCGCTGCCTGGTCAGCGCCCGCCCATTAAAGTCTTGTTCTCAGCGTTCAGCCCAGTCATACCTGCCAGCTACCCGAGCTCCTCTCCAAGACGGGCTGGGGTGGCCATTTTCCTGACCCCAGCAGAAGAGACAGGAGAAGGGTGACAGTGGTCACTCCAGGGAGCCTCATTCCCCGAGCGGTCAGCATCTGAGTGCCCGTCTTTAGGGGCTTTAAGGGCCAGCCAGGGGCAGGGCTGGGCTTCTGAGCACTCCTCGCAGTTTCCCCACCAGCCGATGGGACGACGGCCCTCTGTCCGCACGTGACCTTTCCTCTGAGTGCGTTCCTGGGGGACACAGGTCTTCCGCTGATGAGGCCCCCAGGTCCACTGACTGCGGCCCCACCCTTGTGACCTCAGTCAGCCTTGGTCACCTCCCTACAGGCTCCGCCTGCTCACCAGCCACACTGAGCGTTGGGGCTCCGACGTGTGCCCATGAGGTGCAGGTGCTTGGCTCCTGGAGAACTTTCTGGAACCTGCAGCACCCTCCTGATGAGCGAGCATGACGCTCGCGCTCCGGGCCGCAGCTCTCACTGGCCAGCTGTCTGGTCCCCAGAGAAGACTGTCCTGACTGGGAGTCTGCTTTCAGTCCAGGCTGCCCCATTGCCTCCTCTCCTGTCCCTACAGAGATGCTTCTAGGTATCCGCGGTCTGTCCTCGCCCGCAATGACTTTGGGTGTTTTTGAGATACTATCATTTTTTTGTTTTTGCTTCCCTAGCGTTCCTATCTGTTTTTATAGGCAGAGGCTGAGTAACAATTATGCACCACTGCTGACATCATTCCAAGTCCCACCTGTGAAATATTATTGCCACAAAGTTGTAGCAGAATTGCATCAAGCTTTTTTTTTTTTT